CGGCTACTAGAATGGTGCCTGGGATGGAGGGGTTGTAATATAAGGAGAGGCTGAAATCTCATTGTTTTCTCTTGAAAAAAGAAGAGTTGGAGGGGGGGGGGAGATCTGATTGAGGTATTTAGCATTGTAAAGGGAATTGATAGTGTTGATGCATCATCATTTTTCATATTTAACAATGAGAATAGTAGGACTAGGGGACGCAAATATGAATTTTGGAAACGTAGGAGTCATCTTCAGTTAAGACAGTTTCATTTTTCTAACAGGGTGATTGGCCTTTGGAATGGGTTGCCTTCATATGTTGTAGAGGCAGTAAATTTAAGTGAGTTTAAGAAAAAGCTTGATAAGTATATGAATGATAAGGGCTGGCTTTAAGATTTTTAATTTTAATCTAGTGTAGAGGATGGAATAGCTGAGATGTACAAATAGGTCCCATATTGTCTCAAAATGTTATGTTATGATGGCAACTAATTCCTGGCTAACAAAGAGAAGTTACATTGATCCTGTGCATGTGCACACATGTTACCATATACAATAGTATATAACTGACCTTTAGTCTTTACAAAGTGACCTGTCTTGGCTAGTATTTTGTAAAATAGTCACAGTTCAGTTATAATAGATTATATATGTATATACATTATTACTACTTACAAACAAGTTCTTAAACTTATTTTTCTTAAAACATAGTAAATAAATAAGTGTAGTAAACAATTATATATATTCTAGTTACGAACTTTGTACTCATTTGCTGCTTGCCATAAGTTGCTAAGCTTATCAAATTTCACACATGGAGGATGTGAAAAAGTTTTTTGTTGTTGTTGTTTTATATATATACAATTTAAATAACCAAAAAATCATAAATAATGAAATTCATACAGTAACATGTCAAAATGGCTGAGAAAACCACTAGGTGGACAGAGTTTGTGATTGGTTATTCATGTTGTATCTAGAAGTAAGTGTATACAGGGGACCTTTTCCAAAAATGGAGTGGATTGGGGGGCCACTGTTTGATTCAGTACATGCCATATCTCAGCAAATCGAAAAGATGAGAGGCTCTTATTTTATATTCTAACTTGTCACTATTGGTAGTTTGAGTTCCTAATTCGTAAGAAACTATAGACTTTGTATTCTGACATCGAAAACATCTAATTTGAACCAGTGCTGCATTCAACATATCACATGACACACAAAAATTGATGTTTAGCTATGTTTTTTAATACTTATTTTAAATTAGGAAATTAACAAACATATATTACTAAAATTTGAATTATAATCTACAATTTGATACCAAACTTATTGACATAAATAGTTCTACAAAATTTTGAATGCAAATCAACAAACATGATGACATGGCCTTTGACACGTGACATGTCAAGAGAAACTGAGAGATCTTAACCTGTCTATATTAGTGAGTATATAAGATAACATTTTTATCCCCAGAATCATCTTAATAGCCCTCCTCTGAACCCTTTACAATAAACCAATCTCTTCTCTGCTAAGGAAATCAAAACTGTTTAGTGATCGAAGTGATACTTAACATGTGATTTATGTAGTTAATTATATTTTCTGATTTGTAATCAGTATGTATTAATACACTAAAATTCTATTAGCTTTATTAGCAGCAACGTAGCAGTGCCTTCATGGTTTGACAGGACTATCTCGTTACTAAGATTCTTCTTCCATTCATGTTATTGAATGGGTTCCCACTTGTATTAGATGTGTAATTTAAATTATAACTCAAATGCACTACCATTCACTTCACTGTAAAGGTCATTTGTAAAATATTTTTCTAACTTGGCAGTTTATCCATGTCATTCCATAGCATTTCAACATCCTAAATACAGCTAGAAATACCAGTTTGATATCATTATTAAACATTACTAATTATGAACATTTGCCCCCTATAAATTGATATGCGAGTTGGAAAATTTTTGAAGTAAGAAATTTCTAAAATAGTAGTTATTCAGTGACTGTATTGTGACTGTTAGTGATTTAAACTAATTATACTTGTTTGGAAAATTTCATAGATAGTTACTGGAACATATGTTTTTGGGGAATGTCCTATTTTTGAGGTTTTATAAATCCTTTTATGCAACAGGTAAATCTTGGCTTCCTATTGTGGTTGAAATCCAGCTGCTAATCTGCAACAGCTTAATCTTGGCTTCCTGTTGTGATTGAAATCCAGCTACTAATCTGCAAGATACAGAAATAAAATTCCTGAAAATCTCTTCTGTTAAAATTTAATATATTATAGGTTGAAAGTTACTGAAACTGTTTAGTTGCTTTTCTATTAAAATTTACTTTTTGTTGCTCTTTGCCAAAAGGATTGAAAGTACAGAATGCCTGCCCTACAGACATCTTTACCACCCTACTAGAGTGAAACTTAACCAACTTATATTTTGTTTTCATATTTTAATTTAGGCAGGCTTAGTATGGAGGCTTCTAATATTTCCAAAATATCATCTTTTTTAACTGAAATCATTGTAGAGTTGTAGCAAGCTTTATCATTTTAAACTTAGTCTTTAAATCATTTTTTTTATTTCTCACATTTTGGAAGCTTCAAAACAGTTATACATATGTGAACTGTGAATTTGAGAAGCTACATAGGAAAGTTTAGAAAATGGATTGTTTTATGCCCATTATAAGGATAAGTTGGAATGTTTCAAAAAGAAATGATTAATTAAAATCTATCTAGATGAGTATGGATGATTTTTTTTCTTCATAAATTTGTAGTTGATCCATAAAGCTGTTAATTGATCACTTGCTCGTTCCAGGTTTATTTTTAGAATCCTGGATTGTTTGTGTTTTACTGAAGAGTGGTGGAAAAATAACACTAATGTCTAAACCATCTATTGTGATCAGAAACTGTTGCAAGAATAAGTAAGTAAATTTCAATGTAATCAATAAGAGCACATTTTGTAACCTAACAATCCCAACATGGGTGTAACGTTTGAAATATTAGAACTATGTAGGTCTTCAGTGTAGTAAGCTTCTGTGATTGTTAGGCTTATTATAATTTTCAGTCATCTGGGCTTTTGCATTCTTCCTGTATAGAGTAGAGATCAAGCCTTGGATGAAGAAAATCAGTTTGAAGTCAGGAACATATCTTAATTGTGAATCCATTAGTCATTTCATGTGATTTGGCTGAACACAAATTATGAAACAGGGAAGCTCTATAGTATTCAACTAACATCATTGTATGTAACATCGTGAAGGTTGGAAGCTAGTTCCATGAAAGTATTAGCTCTCTCCCTACTACACTTGGTTGTGAATATTACTGAAAGGTATTCAGTATACAAAACACTCGCACTGAATTTGGACAACATAAATTTGTTGTTTGTCCATGAAGCTATTGTTTTATCACTTGTTCAAAGTTTTGTATTTTTAGAATCCTGACATGTTCTATTGTTCTACTGAACAGTGAAAAAAGTTCCTATGCACAGTAGACCATATACTTCAAGATGGGGACTTGGGTAATGCATTAGAGAAGTTGTGGATGGAGCGTGGAGAATAAATAGCTGGCAGCTCTGATTATGAAAACAAGTAGAACCAAGGCTACTAAAAGTGGAAATTGGTGAGAATAAAGGCAATGTAGATAGTGACTTAAAGTGACATGAAAGATAGAAAGAGAGAAAAGTGATTCAGTGACTTGTGAATATTGATTAATGGTTTAAGCTACATTTTATTGCAATTGTTAAACACTAAAAAGTGCAAGGGCTAGCCATTTGGGCTAGTTACCATAATAGATCATTAGCCCAGGACTAGTCAGACAAATTTTTTGCTAATGAAACTATACAGAAGATCTTTCTTTCAAGACTTGTAAACTACAAACGTACATGCAAAACCAATAAATACTCAAAAAGCCAAGTATTATAAATAATTACTAAACAGTTATGAATTGGATTAAATATTTTAAGGATTACATTCATATATCCAAAGATGCTTGAATTGGTATGATTCTGCAAATGTAGTTTTTAAAACAACAAATATAATGGTGTGCCAATGTCAATCCTCAGAGAAAGGAGGGAATTTTCTGATTGCCTGTTAAATTGCTTCTTTTTCTGCTTTTGGAAAGAAATAGTTTGAGAAATTAATATTACCATGAAAAAGGAATAAATGAAATGTGCAAGTATATAAAAAAAATAAAAAAAATGGATATTTAATTATCCATCACTATCCTCATTGGACTAGTCTTACACTGGCAGTTAGTCTTAATGCACTTTTTACTTATTTTGGGCTACTGAGCCAGCATTAATGTGAAGCCCTAGAGTAATTCATGTAACTTCTATTTGCCAATTATGGGTGACTGAAAATGAAAAGTTTGTGGGATTGTTTTAATAAAGTGAATTACAAATTGTGTAGCATATTAATTTTCACCTGGTGGCAAAGGGAAAACATGGACATTGTGTTGAAATTAGTGATATACTATACTGCTTCTGCACTCCAAGTTAAAATGCACCATTAATGAGCTAGCCCTTCTAACACCAGAATTAGAATAATCAGAAGAACATTTGGTTATTACACTACTCACTAGTTCTCTTATTTAGTGATGTCTTTTTGGCTAAACTGAAAGTTTTAACTTTTGACAACCTCAAAACCTAATTTAGATGTTTATATAAAAGTCTCTTACATTGTTATAAGAGGGACTTGAGACTATGATGAGCAATACATAATATGAAACAGCCATTTTTTTTTCTCAGGTCCATCCCTACACACTAAGCACTATCTGAGATAATTTCATTAATAGTAGTTTAGATTGATAATTCATTTTGTGGTTGTGCTTTATTAGTACAAATAGTTAGTTGGTTATCAAATAAAATAATTTTGTTTATTGCATACCATAACTAATTGGATGACCATTAACGTCTCGGTCTTTTCTTTGTACTGGTTGAGAATAGTTTGTTGTTTGAGGACACAAATTCAGTATTAGATCTAGTACACTATAAAGTTTGTTACAAGCAAGATTAATTTTCAGTTGACTGTGCAATGCATTGTAGAATCTGAAGACAACTTATCATGCCAGGCTAACACTGCTGCCTTCATATGTCTATTTAAAATGCCCAGTGATAACATTCAAAAACTGTTTCATTCACTTACTGTAGCAAATAACTTTGATCAAAACAAGTTATCTAGTAATTAATATAACTAACTTAATATACTGGTCTAACTAGGGTTATGCAGTGTTACAGAACAAAAGCTTAGAATGCATTCATTGGTTGGATTCTCTCTTGCAATTATTTTTAGCTGTAATCTCAATATTATGAGGTTTGGTCAGTTAATAATACAAAATAACTTTTCAATAATAAAATTTTTAAAAATAATAATATTTGAAACATTTTACTAATATCGTTAATGAAACTAACTTTAAAGAAAGAATAAATATATCTTAAACTTTTAACTGGTTATTTGCTTCACGCACTATCATAAATTCCCTGTCTTTTGAAAAGTAGATCAGAATACATGCAAAACTATAATTCTCCTTAACAGATAGCCCTTGTGTAGCTTTGTGTGAAATTCAAGACAAACCAAACCCAAAGAGTTAATATAAGTTGATCTGCGTGTCATGTTTCACATGACATTTGAGTTGGTGAAACTTTAGGTGTTTAACTTTACTTAAGGCTAAGCTGAGAACTTCATAGTTCTTACATTTTAGTTACTTTTGTTTATAATATACAAAAATACCTAAAGGATTAGAAGTACTCACGTGTACTCACTCCATTTGCAGTCGAGTAAAAACTTGGAAATTGTTCTCGAAGCCACATTCAGTCACTAGAACAGAGTGTCCTCAAACTAATTTTAATTGACTTTCTATGAAAGCTATAAGTAGGCTAAAAAAAAATGTTATTGTTCAGAGTGTCAAATCTGATCAGTACAAACCAAGCAATTCTCCTTGAATAATCTGCTCTATTGGTTATTATTATGGCCATCAGCCATGTAAAGCTTAATAAACAATCTTGAAAGTTAGAGAGAGGGAAAATGTGCTTCTGTGTTGGGTTTGACAAAGTTATTGGTATTTCAACAGATCAAGAATGAAGAGGTTCATGTTTTATATTCTTGCTTGTAATTATATATAATTCAGGTTTCTAATTAGTTGGAAACTGCAGCAGCCTAATTTGGAGGTTGGAAGACTGAAATGGAGAAATTGGAGCTCAGATGTATCACGTAACACAAATTAACATTTTTTAATTATTTCATTTTGAAATTAAGAACTTAAAACTTGGATGATATAAATATTGAATGTAATACTGAAAGTTCATGAGCACATTAACCCAGATGTACAGAGTAAAACAGTTCCAAATTTGAGATAGATCACAACATGTTACCAGTTAATTATAAAGCCAGGTAGAAAGGTGATATAGAAAGCTCCGAAAACTTTAAGATATAAACTGAAGAAGTATGTGCAATAAATAGTAATGTGATGATTAAAAATATCAACTTTTAAAAGCAATAAATCACACTGATAGTAACAAGAACTATTGAATATACCGCAAAAAGCAATAAATGTAGTTTAAAATATCGTAGGAGAAATCTTGTTTATGAAAAATGAGTTTGAGCTCTGTTCATACAATCTTGTAATGTTGAACAAATTCTGTTTTATATAATGAACTGTAAGTAGCAAATATAGGAGAATATGTTTAGGATAGTTATATTAGTATATAGTTTATAACTTCAAAATTGGAAGTTTTTGTTTTATTGAATTTTTAGGCTTGAATGTTTGGTTAATGATACTTGTATCTAAATCCAAGTTATTTGTAGTGAAAGAGCTTTTCGTCCAGAATGAGATCTCGTGGATAAATGTTTGGCAGTGTTGAGAAAACCTTGATTATTTAGTGAAAGATTATCCTAATATCTACAAGTGTGACTAATGTGCACAAGTTTAATTTTTTTATGAAGATTTGTTACGAATGAAAATACTTTCATGAATACATATAAATGTGCAACTAACCGAAGTTACCACCGATAAATATTTCTGTTCCTTCAGATATGTTGGCTATATTGTACAAATGTTCTGAAGTAAAAAATATATAGCTTTTTAAGAACATGTTTCTTGTGACACCTTGATTTTTAAGTAACATTATCATAGAAAATCTGTATTTACTAACACACAGCTTTAATTTTCAGAGTTCTTAAATGGTCTTAATTGATGATAGAACAATTTTATCAGTGGGGTAACTAGAGTAAGAATTACCAAGTATTTTGTTTATGCTTTCAATTAAATTGTACTGATGACAATGAACAGCACATACAATACAAAACATAATTAAGGAATTAAATGTTTATCTTAAATAAAATAAATCAAACTTGTTTGTGTTATTGCTATTCTATGTTGGTTATTAATTGACTGTTTTTATATAACTTAGTATCTGCAGTAGGTTTTAACCTATGATGTTCCATTATGAGAATATGAACAATTTGCCTGACGATTAAGTTGTAATTTCTGACAAAACTATCAAATATCCATTTTCAAAGGTTCAAGTATTGTTAAAACAATTTTGACTATGCAATGCAAATACACAAGTCACAGTAAAATCTTGATAGAAAAACATGTATCAGAATCATTTTGTCACTATTTAGTATTTGTAGGAAGTGTGATGCCTCAACATATCAATTTTAGCAAGGGTATGTGAATAATTGCACACTCAGATCATCACTATGTGTTCAGCTTAGGGATTTAGCATTTCTAAGACAGAGAGAGATATCACTTGTATTTAATGGTGTTGGAAGACAAAGGATGAATCAGCTAAGGGATCTATAACAATCTAAAAAGACCAGCAAAGTCATATCCCAGCCATGGTAAGCAAATTGTGGCATCTTGTAACAGATGAGAATCCACTAACACATACTCCCATGTTCATAAGTTGCTTCCATGATTTATCTATTCAACTGTTACATACATCAAGCAGATGACAACTGGTATTCATGCTATTTCATACAAAGACATTTACGTTGCTAAATGCATTGCCTACATATTTCTATGCAGTTGGACTGTTGAAATGATTGCTGAGAAGCTGTCATCCTTGTACAACAGATGGCTTATGGAAAGCAGTTGGAAGAAAGGGTGTTCTTTGGATATAAAATCCTAACAACAAAGCATTTTACAATGAAAACTATACTCTAGAACTATTGTTCAGGTACATGGTCATCAGGGAGCATAACCTGAGGTGGCAGCATGGACAATTAGAATGTGGTGACACTCCATCTTTATAGTGTAAGGCACTCAAGCTCAGTATTCCTTATAATTTTGAGTATAGTCCCAGGTAGTAAATAGGTGTCTAACATTGAAGTTCTTTGCTACTAGTGATATTGTTTGATTTTGACACATTACATTTTCAAAAAATTCACAACTTAAAGAAAATTTTGGAAATTAACATGTCTCGTGGTCAGTTAAAATGAAGGTGAGCAATGAAAATTACTTGTACTTGTTCATTGATATTACACTTGTGTTATGAATAATTATATGCAAAGCAAGCTTGTAAAAGTTTTATATATAACCATTTTAAATTATCTAAAAGTTTTGATTACTTTTTAATATGTTTCCTTTTTGTTGTTGTTGCAGATTATCTTTAAATTTCATCATTTGAGTGGAGTTTTCATAGACCCTCATCACTGTGAAGTGACTATTAACTGTATTTAGAAAAACAAAAAAAAATAACTTTGAGGTCTTTGTGCCTTTTTGGACTGTTTTTATAAATCAGCCATGGCATCTGTTAAAGCAGATACTTTGAACTCTGCTAATCACAACACTGCATGTCTCTCTAACAACAGTGTGGATAATACTATGAGGCAAAATACCACAATATCAAGGTTAGTCATGTTATATTACAAAAGTATTGTATACCATTGCAGCATAGTGTATTACATGATTAGTTGGATTGCATAGTTAAAAATATTACAGTTAAAAGGTATTTTAGAATTTGTCTTAAGACAAAATGTGGAAAAACTTTCTGAATTTTTCAGTTAATATATAGTTGTATACTTCTGTGTTAGATCTGTCAATGTAGGTAAATTTTAATTACTTATTCAAACATCTGTATATTCATTTTGTAGCTATTAGAAACGTATTAGTGTTTAATAAATTATTTGGATTTCTTCACTAACTATCCTGGGTTTGAATCTCTACCTTTCATGATGTCAAAACTGCTATGTTCCTTTGGACAATAGCTCTGAAAGTTCAATAATATGTAGCTGAAATTACTTACCAGTTCTAAATATATTTTTGACCTAACTTAATTACTTCCATTCAATTCTTGTCTTACAACTAAGTTTGTAAATTGGTAGACCCATGCTAATAAGCTTTGTTTTCTATAACTACTAAAAAAAGCATAATAGAAATAAAATGTTCTTTAAACATTGAATAAAAGTTGAACTTTGAAATTAATACATTCCTCCATACCATTTTCAGATACTTCTGTACAAATTTTAGATCAATTTTAAACTCAACTTGCTTTTGTATATAATCTTGGTTTTAAACCAGTCTTGCTGATATCAGTAAGTAATGAGTCAAGGCTCTCTCTCTTTGCATATAAGGCTTTACAAATTGTTTTTAATTTATATAATTTAAATATGATTAAGTTGCCAAAATAATTAACTTCAGAAACTGTTTAAAAATGTTCAAGTTCTAAATTTTCCTAGTTTTTCTCTGAGATAGTGTTCCAAGTTTTAAAGAAAAACAAGCTTATTTACCAAAACATAGATGTAAAGATTGTAAAGAAAAACAATTTATGTTTATTCACAACTGCAAGTAACTACTTGCCTGTGGCATAATATTTGTGAGCTGAGTCATTTTCCATTAACCCGATCACTGCCAGGTACTAACTTTCTTCGTTACAATAATAAAACTAGTGGATAAAATTACTTGAAACTTCATAAGAACTGTCATAAATGCACATAGTTTAAGAAACATAATGCTTGTTACTTTTGATAAATTTAGTTTTTTTTTGCATTATGATCTTTAATATCCTGGAAAATTATATTAGGAAGTGGTATTTATAAGATATGATTATGATATTTATATTTGTTCCAGAGTTGAACTTCTTACTTTTTATGTTTTAGTACATTATTTTAAAATCTCTAAACTTTTTATTGTCCATAAAATCCAAATTTTGTCTATTTTTAATATTTTAATAATCATGTACTCTCTTTACAGTTTTGAAGTAATATACAAGACCAAAAATAATATTTCTAAGTAAACCTAAACAATAAACAAGTATTTTTTTATTTTTAACTAGGATTACACATTATATATCTTCATTTAAAAAAAAAATCATTTAATTTTGTTTCTTTGAACTTTCAAACAAGTTTATTTCAACACATGTCCTTATATATTGTTTCCTATACAGACAGAAACCAATTGCCACTACTTGTGAATGTATGTAATAGCTTACAGTACAGGTGGTTTGAATAACACTGCCTGACCGAAGTTACATGATAAATCCTGTTACAAGAGACTACCAAATGATAGACACCATAAATTACAAAGAAAATCATCTTAAGTACTTAAGGTTACTCCTGGTCGCATTCCTCTCATTATAGGCAAGATTTATATTGGAATTCGAAACTTAAGCTCTTCAGTGTATTGACACCCTAACTTTGAGAATGTATTATTGAGACAAATGTGTTTATTCCATTTCACAACCAACATATGGGTTTTATTGTTGCCACTTGTACACCGAGTTTTAAATCCTTTGCAAAATATCAGAATAAGCTTTTTATATATCAGTTACTATTTTAATTATAAAGCACCACAAGAGTGTGATTCTTACTACAAAGTAAAGATAGTAAGAAGGAAAAATATAAAATTCCTATATGGTACTAGTAGTATGTACAAATCACACAAGTTATCATTCTAAATACTGAATCATATTTTTATTATGAACTAAATATAAAATTATGCTAAATTATTGAATTTAAAACTGCTAATTTAAATGCAAAAGAATATAAAAATCACTCTTTCAGTTCAAAGTGCTAACCCTAATTCACGACCATGCACTCGCCACTTGATACATCTTAACCTTAACATTTCTTTCCTAAAAATATATCTATTTTGAGTAAATTTTTCCATATAATGATTGATATAAATAGATATACAATATAGCATGATTTAACATAAGTCGCATACATCTCTCAAATGACATATTACACAGTTTACTGAACAGATAATTGTCATTTTTTCTGATAGTACCAGTTTTGTTCCCACAGGAAGCATTACAAACTTGGATGAATTTGTAATGGCTCTTGTCACATAGTTAGAAAGCCAGAAAAATTGTGCTAATTATGGGACATTGTCTGATTTTTTTTCATGTTTTTTATTCTATGTTCTTTGGTGTTTTATGTAATTAAATAAAAAATTTAGTGCATTACTACCAAATGTATTTTAAAAAAAAACTAAATAAAAGTAGTAGTGTTAAATGTCATTAACAGTTGACAGCAAAAACAAAAAAGAAATGCCTAGATAAGTACCTTATTTCTTGATTTTCGTGTGTATTCTTTATTTATTATTAGGTAAGTAACTAACATATAAAAATAGGAATCTCTTTAGGTTAGATTAAGTGAAATATAATAAAAAAAAAAGTTTTGTGAGGCATTCTTGAGCAGATCAGGGTAGCTTGTGGGTAATGTAATTCAATAACGTAACATGAGCCCCATGTGACTTGCAACTTATAATGGTGTGAATAGTAGTTACACATGGTTCAAAGGGCAATAAAATTTATGTATAAATAGATGTATACTGTTATGAGTTTAACCCTTTGACTGTGACCTACTTCATTGTTAGTAGGTATGCAACTCTCATAAAAGTTCTTAACAAAAATTAAACCAATGGATGAAATTCTTATAAATTTCAGATGAAAAGCCCTATAAGTATGTAGTTTTTGAAAAATAATTTTTAATTTTGATTTTTTAACATGCAAAATGATTTTTATTTTGAGATTAAAAATACTTTTATGCATCACTAAATTTTCAAATTTCACGTGTGAAATCCTTATGTCCAGATAGTTATCAAACATCTCTTGTGAAAAAATGTTATATTTTATCAGTTATTTTCACTATATAGGTTTGGTCCATTTGACTGATCTTGTAACCACTGTAAAAAATTATGAAATAAATATAAATTATGCCTCTTTCAATCTAGAATGACTACAAATTATAACACAAACATAAATTTAGGGGTTTTTTAGACACTATGCAAATGAAATCTGAGATTTTTGAGATGAAGAAAACTATTTTTAACCTTCACATGAAAATCACTTTGCACTCTGACTACTCAAAAAAAAATTTCATGGACAAATCTTTTTGTAGCTTATTAAAAATACTTCACTGATTTTTGTATGTGTAAAAACTTGTAATGTTTACTGAAACCCTGCTAAATTTTAAAGATATACGTACTATATTAAAAATTATTGGTATCAAAACTATAATGACTTTAAATGAGTACAAATTGGTCATGTGATTCGATCAATCTGACCAAGCCCATGTCGAGAGAGAGAGAGTTAAACCTGTAACAACCAGTGAACACCTTTCAGATGTAGAGTTGCATACGTATTTATCACATTTCAGAACTTAGTAAAAAGAAATTGAAATAGAATTATTATTTTTACTTAAATATTTTAGAATTCATATTTTGTCATTTTGTAACATTTAGTTTAGGTAATTCATGAAGAAAAATGAATTTTCAAACTTGCATTTCTGCATAGTTTCAAGGAAACTCCCTATCATCCCATTAAAATAATTTTGTTTTTAATATGATTTTTCCTTTTCTCTGGTTTTACTAATACAACATATTGCACCCTTTTATGACCTCGCAGCATGTGAACAGGAAAAACTACTAAAGTAAAGTGAATAAAGTGGTGTAAAATGGAATTTATAGCTTGTAAGAAAGTGATTAGATGTAGCTCCTGCAGAGAACAACAGAATTTAATGAGAAGTTTAAGACTTTGGAACAAATAACAGATCTGTGAAGTTTTTGTAGTTTCTCTAGATCTTCTTTTCTTTCCAGATGTTTTCCTGTTAAATTATGTTTGAAAAGCATGGAAATTCTATGTCAGTTCATCAATTAGGTTTAGAGAGTAATAATGGATGACAGCAAAATATTTCTAAACAGTCTCAACAAAATATTAGAAATTCCACACATAAAAAAAAGAAAAAGAAAAAATTTAAATCCAAACTAAATAATATTTAACATTTTACAAAGTTAATGCAATTTAGATAAGTTAGGATAATAGTCAGTAGATGTCTATTATCAACCACACGAATCCCTATCTAGAGATAATATTAATTTTGAACTGAATATTACTGCCACTCATATAAGAACTCCAATACAAAAATAAAAAATCTAGACTGCCCCTCACCCCTTGTTACTAGATCTTGAGGTGGCTGAAGTAAAAGAAATAGTAGTACAGGCAATAAAGCAATCAAATACATTTGATCAGCCTGAAGCAGTGTACAAAAAAAGTGCATTTAAAACATGCTTTTGATTCATTTATCCTAGGGCATTGAGAAAATTATATAAAGCAGCCCTAGGCCTTAATTTTTGAAGGCACTATTTCAGAAAAAATTAAAAGATGCTTAATTTGGGTAGAAAGTGGTGTATTTAGGCTGCAAATGCCTGGATTGATAAAGTATACAGTACACTGCTAACAGCCTATCTGCTAGCAAAACTGTACTGTAAAGACTGGATGGTGTGAGTCTAACTGGCTGGCCCGTGTTACCTGCCTTGGCAACTAGTCAAACACTTAGAAGCTGTGGCCTTCTATCCCCCTCTTCTTTTCCTGACACTTAGCCTGGGTATGCCATGCAGCTCAAATTGGTATCACAAAACCAGCAAGAAAACAACAAATGAGAATCTTATTAATCACAATTATTATTATTAGCCTTCTGTATCATTGATGCATAATTACTCAACAGTAGTAAATGTGCAAATTTTCCTTCTGATATGTGTATTAATATTTGTTTTTGTAGTTCCTTTTAATTGTATTAGCAGAACTGTAATACTAATACTCAATTTATTTTGCTTGCATTAATGTCATATGATGTAAAGAGGAATTTACAATTAATATTGTAGTTTTATAAGTAACACTGAATATAAACATCACTAATGTCATCTGTTTTTTGCATCTGTGTAGAAGTCATGTTTGAAAAATTGCTAGCTAGTAAAGATCACATAAGGCACACACACACAATTTCTATTGCACTAAATACTGTAGATTTTATTAATAAATCTTTTGTTTATCATGTTTTATTAAACTCTTTCAGCGTGGGCTCTGTTCCTGGGGCTGAACTCGTAACCATTTTGTGCTTTTTATAGTTTTGTGAACATTTCTTTATCTACTGTTGTATAACAATGTACTCTAATTTTTTTCAATCCATATGAGGAATGAATTTTGCAATGTGCAGTACCAGTTTGTTTGTTTTTTAGGGGTGTGGTGGGGGTATTTTTAGACCATCGACCCTATTGGATCTTTAGGTTACTTTGCAATGCTACCAGTTGGTTATTTGGCCTGTCAACTGCCAGGGTCACTAAGGCTGCCAACGTGTTGAGACTCCTCACCATAATTGAGGATGTGCACGGTACTTGATTGGTTGTTGTGCAGCCACGCAGCTTTGAGGGAACACTGCTATATAGGGGTAGTTGTTAATATTTTATTAGCATTGGATAAACCTGAGGGAATTGTTCCAGATAACTTCACTACAAAAATGTGTATAAGATAGCCAAGTTATTGGTTAATTGTTTGTCAGTAATCATATTTTTCTCCCAATTACTGCTATAATTCAGTTGATTTGATACAGCCCTTGATAGTCATGAAAAAATAGCTTTCCAAACCTAGAAAATCTTATCTTCATTGCAGTTTTAGAAAGACATAAGAATCAGATTTTGTTTTACACTGTAGCATCGGAATTGAAGATGTTCTCTTGCAGAAGCTTGTGTATTCTGTTATTATCACAGTTTAAAAATTTTGACAATCATCTATCAATCCTGCATATAGTATTTTCCTAACCCCTTTTGACTTCAATATCTTTGGTCCTCTCTCTAATTCTGTAACACCTGGCTGGGTGCACCCTGCCCTGAGACCAAAATTTAAAAAAATTATAATGTGAATTTATTGTTTGACATTTTTTCTGATACTTCAGAGTTTAAATTTATTCAATTAAAAAATAATTTTATGGATGTTATTTCTAAATTTCAAACAATGCTTTTGGGTTGATTTCAGTTGGTTCTGATTAAAAACATCAGTAATTGTGAATTTCTGAATTTTCTTTTCTAAGCATAATATGATACTTATTCCCATAAAAAGGAAGTCAAAATATTTTTGATCAAAAGAATACTAATTTGGACCTTTTAACTTCAATACAAGTGTAGTTTTATTGATTTTAACCAATCAATGTTTCTCAGCCTTGGTTGTCATGGCTTTAAATAAGTTATCAATCTCTCCTTTGATATAATGCTAGTGATGTAAGTGTGTAACAAGAGCTTTCTCCGTTCTTTTGAACAGTGTAAATCAAAGTAGCTTTCACTAAAGAATTGCTTAGGTATCAGAACAAATTGATAAAAGCTTAGCTTGGGGATATGCTGGGTAACAAATGTTTATGAACAATTTTTGCCACAATTACAGTTCTGATTTTAAGTTTGTGAAAAGCTTGTTTTATCATTTTATTCTTCATTTAAATTGATATTGTAGTATGATACTAAGGAAGTGTTTTTATGGGACAAGATTAAATTGAAAATTTAGGCTTATGGTAGTCAGATTATTTTGCACTTGACTGTATCAAGTTTAATTTTTTTGACAAAACCAACGTTTATTAGGCAATGTTTGCATTAGGTCTTATTGGCCTAACTGAGTTCTTGAATTGGAAAATAAAATAAAAGATTTGTGAAAGAAAAAATATATGAATGAATATAAAACAGGTTTAAAACTTATAAATATGGTAAATGAATATAGTGTTGTGATTACCTCCAGTTTTTTCATTATCCTCCATTTCTGAGAAAAATTCTAACTTAGAATGCTAATCTTCTTATCATTAAGCCAAGAAAACCATCTCTTAACCAGAAGATGAGTGCACTGCCACCACATTTTTAATTGTGAAAATAGAACAGTACATGAACCTTGATCATTGAATATTGGATGGAGTAAAACCGTAAACATAGTCCATTTATTTATTCTTGGACAGTGTAGCTGGGCCAAGAACATTGACCTAATAATAATAGTACCAATGAATAACATTTTTCCATGCTACACTTTTCCAATAATGTAGTTAGTAAGTAGCAATAAAGTGCTGCTATTACTAATATTAGCAGAAATGCTGGCCAATGAGCAGCTGTTTTTACTAGTAATTACTGATCATAGTACTCATACATCATTAAAAGGGGGTGGGAAGAGATTTGTGCTGTGGTACCATTTATTGAAAAACCTTTTTTAAAAAAAAAAAATCCATTTTTATAGTAGTATGTTTACAAATTACTTGAATAAAGATATAATCAAATCCTCAGGTACAGTCCTAGTGAAAGTTGTATTCTTGTTTTGAGGAGAGTACTTATTTAAAATTGTGTTCTGGGATAAAGAAATGCACATAATGTAGTTATTTTTCTAATTGTCTGAATCTTGAATACCCAAAGTGTGAATTTTTTTTTTTTTTATGGATTTATGTTAATGATGCCATTGAATAGATGGCACCATCTTGTATTTATTTCAGACACTGACAGGTACATAGATATACATGTATATATCTATATATACACTTGCTCCTAAGGTTATGTTATTGTATTGATCTTTATTTGTGTCTTGTTTAGTTTGTCTTAGTGTTATAGACTAGTCTTTACTGTCTATAATTTGGTGGTATTGTATAATCTGTCCTACATACAACTTCAGTTGTGAAGTGGTACTGCAAAATTAGAAGTTTTATTAAAATATTGGTATATAAATTCATACTACATTACTTGTTGATCTTAAATACGGAGTCATTGCTCTCCCACTGGTTGCATTGAACTTCATTTAAACTCCAATATATAAAGCACTTGCGTGAGTATTTGAGAACTAAAGAATTTCACACCCTGATTTGATCTTGTGGCTACCAACCAATGTTTTGATGAGTAATGTTAAAATGTTTCAATCTGTTGACACCAGTACCTGATTCATTTTGAATGATTACTGTTTGTGGGACTTGGTGATTTTTAATTGGTACCATGCCAGTGTTTAACTTTTTACCAAGTAGTTGTATTTATATATACAGTATGTGTGTGTGTGTGTGTGTGTGTGTGTGTGCGCAATAAATGGACATGATTTATATAGGTAAGTCCAAATTTTTGCTAAGAGATGATTTCTTGGATAGCTCAGCTCCATATTATAATTATTTAAAGGTTACTGTTTTGAAAATGATCACAAACTAATATAAATGGAAGTTTTTATTACAAAAGTGTGATTATGTTAAACGTGTGAAATATGACATTTGAAATAATTTTTGACAAAATACCCAACAGCTAAAGTGTTAAATTTCTGGCTGAAACAACATGTGTTGTTCTGAAGTCATCTTTCATAAGTTATATTCAGATTAGTAGAAACACTTAAAAATACAAATAAAAGCAGTTATGGTTGGGGGGGCAGTAGAGTTGAAATTTTACAGATTGTATAGTTTGTTGGGTTTTTCAAAATGATCTAACTTGTTATTGTAATATTTTAAACAGAAGTAAGTATCTTATTTTAACATTTCTTTCAGAGACATAATATCTGATGACATTGGGTGGAAAGCCAAACTCAATATTCCTCAAAAAGACAATCGGAAAAAGACAGCGGTAAAAAGAAACATAATATTACTGATAAATTTATCACATTTTAGAACCTACTAGATACAGCCATAACTGAAATATTAACTTCTGTTTGTTGTTTAAATAAAAATGGAAAAAGCTATTATTTTGTTATACTACTGTTTTTATGACAACCCATATTTTCTGACTAAAACAGTTTTAGAGCTTGGCTGTGTGGTACGTATGAAGAATAAATGTCAACTTGGAAACCTAAAAGGCTGCATTTCTTAATAATGAAACCGTTTGATAAATTTTTGGAACTGGTTTTTTCTAAGTACTTTATTTTTTGTATATTATTCATGCCTTTTTCAATATGTTTTGTTATGATTACCATGTCTGTCAATTGCAAATACAACATTTTTGTATGTTGTTTATTGGTGGTTAGTTGAACACAAAGTGAATCATCGTGAAACTAATTTATTGTTATAGTGTAGTTATGCTTAGCTAGCTAATAGATCAGTAGCCTAATTGACTTCAGGGAAATTAATGGTGGTTGCAAAAACTATTTTAGAACTAAACTAGTCTCACACTTGAAATGGGGGGTTTTACTAAATGCTTAATTGGCAGAACTGAGCTTTCTTGGTGGCAATTTGTAACTATAACCTAATTTGTTGTTCCACATTTACTTGAGTGTTAACCCTATCGCCCCATGTATCCTTTACTGAGCATGACACAAGGTTTTAGTGTCTTACATTCAAAATTTTAGTATACTACTTTCTTTGTTATACCAATTAGAATAGCATAAAATCTTAGCTAATAATACATACTTTAATAGTATACAAGTTTAAGTTCTTAAATCTACAAGGGAATATTTTTAAAAAATCCTTAATTTCCACTAGTGTGACCCATGTGACACACTTTGTGTTAGCATGTGATGAAATTAAACGTAAATTACTTCCTATAAAATTCTTATCGCTTAGACAAGCCATAATTTTTATAGTCTTCATAATTTTGTTTGGTTATAGAGCTATCAAATAGAAAATTAGACCCCCTCCTGCTACACCCACCTGTCGCATCCTCTTTCACAGTTCGTTGATAGTTCTCTCTTACATTTCATTGTATATTACCTATAACCAATAGAAAGTCAAGGTTTTAATGTATCAAATGATTTATTGTATAACATTATGTTCTGAACAGTTAGATGTCAATTTCACTCGGAGTGCCAACATTGTTCCCATGGGAAAGTTAACGACTAGCTTGGATGAATTTGTAACGACTTTTGTCGCATAATTAGAAAGCCAGGAAAATTTTGAGTTGAGGGAATTTGTTTACTTTTTGCATAATATTAGTCTATATTCTTTGGTGCATTATTTAATTAAATAAAAATTATGTGCATTACTATCATTAGTATAAAAAAAAAAAATTAGGGTTAACTCTCTTCAAAACCCAACAGCAAGAAAAAGAAAAGATTAGATAAGTACTTTGTTTCTTTTTTCTCATATTTATTCTTTATTTATTATTGTAAAAGTAACTAAAATCTAAAAATATGGATATTTAAGTTATTTAAGACTAGATTAGGTAAAATAAGTAATAATAATAATAATATAATTAAAATGCCTCGCATACATAAGCAGCTCGTGGGTAATGTAATTCGATGGTGTAATGTGAACTGCACATTTTCCGAGTGATTTACAACTTATAATGGTGCGTATAGTTAGACACGGTTCAAAGGGTCAATTAATTATAAATAGGTATATAATGTAGTTTCTTGTTACAATTTAAACTCATTCTAGAAAGAAAACAAGGTTAATTTAATATTTTTTTTTTGTGTGTGTGGGTGGTGGTGATGGTTACGAGGTCGGTCAAATTGACCAATCATGTTTTCAGATAGGGTAGAGAAAATAACAAACTATGAAGTTTTACTGAAAAAAAAATTTTTAAAGCATTCGAGATTTTTTTAGGGATTTACACAAAGGAAATTTGAGATGAGAAAGTATTTTATTTTAACATGAAAATTACTTTGCACAGAGACTAATGAAAACAAATACTCAATATATTCATGGACAAATCTATATTTTATTTTATTAAAATTACTTCACTAAAAAATACGACTTTTTATATGTGAAAGACTTGTAATATTAACTGAAAGACTGCCAAATTTCATGAAGATATACCCCACTATACTGAGTTATAAGTATTAAATCTATAAAGACTTGAAATGAGTACAAAAAGGTCACATGGTCTGTCAAATTGACCAAGCACATATTGAGAGCATTAATGTAGTTTTAATGTTTCACTCAGGTTTCATTGATAACATAACTCGGTTTTGCTACTGAATGCATTAATGAAACCTATTTTCTGAGAAGGATCTTTGTTAGTAATGCACTAATGTAATATTAACTTTTTAGTAAGATGTCCCCTTTTTCAGGATGTAACAGAAACAAAGGGAAATGAATTTGAAGACTTTTGTTTAAAAAGAGACTTACTCATGGGAATATTTGAAAAAGGTTGGGAAAAGCCATCACCTATTCAAGAAGCAAGTATACCCATTGCCCTTCTTGGTCGAGATATTCTTGCTCGTGCCAAAAATGGAACAGGCAAGACAGGTGCCTATATTATTCCTGTTCTTCAAAGAGTAGATACCAATCTTAACCACATACAAGGTAAGTTTTAGTGTGGTTTTATTTTGTTTTTTTTTCTCCCTCTCGCATCTAACTCTGACAAGTGTTTGGATTCATTGTACTTTTATGGTTTATTCCACTTCTTTGTGGATAAAATAGTTTGAAATGTAGCTTTTGCAAGTAAAATATATTTTTATGTGATGTTTATAGAAATTTACAACTTCAAAATTTCAAAAATAATTCAGTGTAATGTTTATATCAAGTGGCCTTGAATCACAATTACCTTACAATCCCAACCAAGCTACTTCAAAAGTAGAAAAATTCATTGTAGCACAGTATCACTACACTTAAGATTAGTTTGGCATTGTGTTATACTAAACTTATGTTAATAAAGACTGGCAATTTAATCAATTGCTACAGTTTTTGAAATTTATTAAGCTAAACAAATGCTGTAACATTAATTTATTTAACCCTTTAGTTAGAAGTAGATCAAAGTGTGCATGTCATGACACTTGAGTTACATGCAAAATTTATTTAACCTATTTTATCATTGTATATGAATAAAATTGGCACCAAAATATAGTTAATAGATCAAATTTTAATATTATATTAAAGTTGATAATTTTATAAAAAATATTTTAACATCCTCAGTCTCCACTAGTATAAAAATTAACATTTGTTCTCTACATCTTCTCTCTTCTCTAAATTTACCACACCTGAGAAGTACAGAATTTAACTTAAATTATTTAATGTAGTATAGATATTACCAAGGAAAGCATAATTTTTATAGCCTTCAATCTTGTTTGTTTACTGAGCCATAAACTACAAAATCATGCCTACTTGCCACACCCACATTTCACATTGTGTCTTTCACTAATTTCTAATACTTCTGAAATTTTATACAATATCATTTATAACCAACAGAAAGCCAAAGTTTTAATCTATCAAATGATGTATTATGTTATTTTCAGTACATAGTATGGTCTATTTTGCCCCCATTTTGGAATTTTTCTCAATGTTCACATCAACAAGCTTAGCTAAGTTATTAAAGGCTCTTATTGCATAGCTAGAAAGTCAGATAAATTATAATAGTTATAGGACATTGTTTGCTTTCAACATGTTATTATTCTGTGTTCTTAGGTGCATTATTGAATTAGTATAAAAAAACAAAGTAGAGTTAAGTGTCATCAACAGTTGACAACAAAAAAAAAGACTGGTAAATATTTTGTTTCATGTTTTTAATGTGTATTCTTTATTTATAATTGTAAAAGTAAATTGTAGAAATTAAACTTTTTGGGTTAGATTAGGTAAAATGAAGAATAGTAATCAGTTTTCATGAGGTATGCCAATGAGTAGCCCATACGTTATTTGTAATTTGATAGGATAACATGAGCTCTACATTTGCAAGTTTTATGTCAGGAATATTAATTTAAACATACAAAATTTAAGTATAAATAGATGTTTTCTGTTGGGAGTTTCAAGCTCTTTAGGATAAACAAATGAAGTTTCATGTTACAATTTGAAGTCACTATAAAAAAGGGCAATTTAGATATATATATTTTGTGTGTGTGGTTTTGAGATCGGTCAAATTGACCAACTTCGCATATAGTTAGGGTAGAGAAAATAATGCATAAAAATGTTTCAATGAGAAATAATATTTTATAATTATTTGGGAGGTCTTGGAGATTATGCAAATGAAATTTGAACATTTTCAGATAAGTTTTTAATCTTAAGATGAAAATCACTTTGCACTTGGAGCAGTTAACCCTGACCCCATATATTCACAGAACATTTTTAGTAGAAATTATTTATCGTATATTTTGTGTAAAAAATTTCATTAAGATACACCAAACATTAAGAGTTATAGTGTGGAAACTTTGATCACAAACTCAGTTAAATCAGCTGATCCCATTGTGAGAAGTTTAAATCCCCACTCCTTTCATCTAATTCTTCATCACAGATGCAATTATAAGTATATTGATGCAATTTGTAGTATGTACAGTGTAGTAAGATGTATTACAAAAAAAAAGAACAGTCAGCGTGTTAGTCAGTTTATTACTTCTGTTTGATACAATTCTAGGGTCATATTATAGCTTGTTATAGTACTTGTTTTTTTGTACTAAGAAGTATGGTGAAGTAATACCTAACTACCTAATTATAATCATTAGTTTTTGGCTGTAATCTTTGTAATGTTGTCCTACTTGACTCCTCACCTACACTGTAGTGTTTTAGTAATTTATCTTAGATTCCACATTTCTCTAAAGTTATGCTGTTGGAGCTTTTTAATGGGTCTTCATTGGTCAGAAGATGTTTTTAGGGAAGACTGTGTAAAGTTTATGCAGTTTTATTGCTGTTGCATTGTTCAGTGGACATTAAATCTTTGACAGTATTTGAAGTCATGCAACATTTAGTGTGTGTTCCATAAGTTATGGATTATTTCATTATCACTTTTAGTAAGAGTGTTGATTAAGATGTTTAACATATCTAATTCTTTTTTTATTCTACTTTTATTATTGATTGTTTTGCATTGTTAGCTTATATGTATTTGGGATGAACCTAAAGCTCCTAAACTTGATTTTGTTAGAGATTATTGGGATTATGGCTGAAAAATATTGTTAGCAGCAAGGATACTCAACTGATGAAACAATACATTATATTCTTAATAAGTAAGCATGTAGAAAAAGTATATTTAATTAGCTGTACTCGTCACCAGATTGATTTTAAGTTTAGATTTAAATACATAGCTTGTTCTGATTCTCATTTTTCGCACAGATGGGAGAGAGAGAGAGAATTAGGATATATTAAAATTTTAACACAATAATCTAATTTACCTTTGTTCTATAAAATAAACTTCATATCTTAATTTTATCCACATTACTGGTGCACTGCAGGTGTGAGTCCACTAATCGAAGCTCCAATAGCAATAACTTCCTGCTATCTTAAAAACAGTTAAAACATCTCCAGATTAAAATATATGCATTCACATTTACTGTATTTAAGATATCAGTAAAATTCTACTGCGTCAAAAATAACTAGTAGCAACATAATAGGATTTAGGAAACAAAAATCTACCAAATGAACATTAACTTGAAATAAATAATTCTAGTACTTTATCATCTTTAATTCTTCTTTCCTATTGGCATTGTCTTCTGTTATCCATTTAATGTTTTCTAACTTACTCCCACTTCTATAGAAACATACTGAAAATACTTGTATAAAATAAGCAGTTTATATAACAAATTGAATTTTAGATGTGTGTTTGTATGAGAGTGTGAGAGAGTGGATGTAATAGTATTTTGGGCCACAGCTGAACATATTTGTTACTTGAGGAGATGTCAGTGAATAAAAAACATCCTAAGTTACACACAAATTTTGGTTTTATTTTTAAATTTTGTTGATTTTTACATGCTTAAAAATGAATCAATATTTTATTAAGGTGTGTGAGTAGGTTTAAGAACATTTTGCATATGCAAAATTTTGCTGTTTTTATCTGCCAGTATTGGGTCTGATGTTATCAGATCTTTCATTTTTTGATATTGGATTTTTGTACAAGAGCTCCAAAGTATGAATTATCTGTACAGATAATTCATATTTCTGGAGCTCTTGTACAATATTCACTTCCAAAATGTTTTTATTTACAAGTTTCAATTTGTTTTCCTCAGCTTCAGTAAAGGTAATATAGCAGATTTTAGGACATTTGATACAGGATATGGGTGCAAGTTTTACTTCTAATGATGAAATATAACACTAACTCAAAACTATATCTCATTCAATTTGTGTGTTAAACATGTATGATTATATTGCAGACTTTAGAGATTTTTTTCCCAGCATGTTTCCCATGTTGAGGTGGTAGTGCATTTGGATGATGTAATTTCTGGCCAAATGTGCACTTCTTTTGGTTGTGTGCAAAACCACAAGATTAACTGTGTTTGTGTGTGTGTGTGTGTGTGTAGAATGTTTATTCAATTTATATATACAAAAATGAATATAGAATTTAAAATAAGTTGCCTAACTGAAAGCTGAAATATGTGATTCTTTTTTACTGTTGATATTATAAATTATAGTCTTAATACTAGTTTTTCTTTGTTTGGAATGCTACTTTAGACAATTTTATACATAAATGTTCCATGCTTAGAAGATAATTTTTTAGTTTGAAAACCAAGTTATAGAATACCCAAAATAAAGTATGGAAAAGATGTAAAGGTCATATTTATCATAAATATTTTATCTAATAACCTAAAATTGAAACCTGCTTTTCCAAAACATGTTAATCTTGTTTCAAGTAGAAAAGCTTAAGAAAAAGTTGAAACAATAGTTTTGTTCTATAATATAAAGATCTGGCTTTATTTGTCTTTACTGGAGATAATCACATACACCAGTTAACTGTTTGATTAACCAAGGCTTTTTTTTTTCTAGCTCTTGTAATAGTACCCACTCGGGAATTGGCTCTTCAAACCAGTCAAATATGTATAGAAGTATCAAAATACCTTGGAGCACGGGTGATGGTGACTACTGGTGGGACAAGTTTAAAAGATGATATCATGAGGATTTATGAAAATGGTGAGAAGCCTTTATTTTTTACTTTTAGTCCAAAAATCGTTGTGTATTTTTAATGTTTAAGTGTTCATATCATGATCCTTTGGAGAGGAAATTGTCAGTTACAAAGAAAAAAAAACAATTTCCTCATATTACAAGAGATTGGATACAAGTGTTTGAAGACTTTTGTTTTAGAAGTTTACATTAAAAATGTAATTTGTAACATGTGTTGAGTTATGATATAAACTTAAATTCTTCTTATTGTGGCAACTGAAAGCTGGCATTCCTGGTGAGTGAAGTTATGGTAAAGGTTATTTATGCATGTACATTGGGAATCAGTATCATAATGTATTCAAACAGTTTTTCTGTTTTTATCCACTCTTCAGATTGTTGAATACCTTTACAAAATGCTACCATGAATTCTTCACTGAAAAAAGTTACTAGTCAGTTACTTTTGAAGTTTTTTTTCATAGAAGCTGAAAATCTATACTATTATTCTGCTTGTTTGTATGTACGACCATTACGCTTTCTGACTGAGAACCTGCTGCATAAGCATGCGTAGTTAGAATGTTTCCCCAAGAAAAACTGCATATACGCATTATTCACTTGACGACAAACAGTGCCTGCGGCAGAGACCTGCAAAGCTCGGTGATCAAGTCGCTACAATTACTGTATGAAACAAGAAGTAACAACAAAAGGGGAATGTAAATATACTTTACTAACATTTTACTATTTTGTACAACAGAATATTAAAAACTTATCAAAGTTTATTAAATGTTTGATATTAGGTCGTAGAATAACCTTATAAGTTTATTTATCGATAGTATCATGTACAGTAAAGTTTAGTCCTAATTAAACTAAAGGAAAAAAAAAAAACTTAACACAGGTTAGTGTTAATTTATCTCTATCGAACATAGGCCTAACATAAGTTAAAGTATTATAATGTATAGCCTACATACAAGTGGATTTACACATTTTGTTGTCTATGATTACAATTCGTTTGTATAGTGCTAGAAATGTTATATTTAACCCTATTGGCACGGGTACCCTTTACTGCGCATGACACAAGGTTTGTCTTACATTCAAAATTTTGTTAAACTACTTTTTTTGTTTATATTATACCAATTAGAATAGCTTAAAATTTTAGCTAATAATCCATATT